CCCCAAAACCCCAAAACCCCAAAACCCCGAATTATGTTTTAAAAAAATTTAAGGAAATTCGAATTAAATCTTAACTTAAAATATAAGAAATCACTATATCAATCATAAATAAAATTATGCTGCCTTTTTAATAATTAATTTTACTTAGGCATCTAAATGAATACCAAATAGGATAGAAAAGTAGAAATTAATTAGACCTTGCTAATCAAGACTGAACTCAAAGATTTTGACAGGACTGACTTTGAAAACTTAACTAAAAAATCAGAATTAATGACTGAATCAGACTAAATCTCGAATACTTCTCAAATTTTTGGGGTTCAACTCAAAGAGAATGTTGGAATCAGAACAGGAATGACCATTTTTATAGTGTCATGCTTGGGTAGCTTAATTACTTCCTTCATTTTCCAAATATCAAACCTTCTTTTGAAAACCAAATTTGAGATGAATGACGATGATGAATTGATAAGAGTCAGCAGTGCGATTTACATGATAATAGTGATTACACAGATTATAGTAAGTCCTATATTGGGGGTCTTTGTAGATATTTTTGGTCGAAGGCTAATCCTTACAATTTACTTCATAATGACGGGGATACTATGTGCCTATTTCCCACACTCAATTTACATTTGGATCGATTTCATAGTGGTAAGACTACTGCTTGCTATAATGTCAAACTCAATGCTAAACAATACCTTAATTCCAGACTATGTTTAGAATAAGAGTATTGGAAAAGCAGTTATATATAAAAATTTCTCGCGATATCTTGGAAATTTTCTGCAACCGGTGACTTTCATCAGCTTGATTTCAACTAGCTATGTTTGGCATTCATTCAATATTTTAGCTGTAGGAATGTGGCTGACTGCAGTATATCTCTACTTTAATTTGAAAAATCCATCAGACTTAGTTTAGTAATTTGAAATTACTTAATCATTATCTACAAGATCTCAGTCTTTGACTTAAAACCCTAAAAATGGATAAGAAGTTAAATAAGACATTTTAATGCCTGAAAAGAAAAGTGATACATTTTGTTCGAAATTCCACTAAGGGTATACTGAATGCAAGTAAAATCCTATTTTGGTCTTCTGCCTAATGTAAAATTTTGTAGTGAGAATGGGCATCGTGCTGGGCTCTAATGCTTATAACTTGTGGATCATTTCGTCTATTGAGGATGAATAGAAAATTTTAGAGGTTATAGCGTTGACAAATTCACTCTCCACCATCCTTAACTTTGTAATACAAATTCCACTTATAAAGTTCCTTGATTGCATAAAACCAAGCGTGATATTTACGATATCTCATTTAATGAGAGGAGTTTCTCTTATGCTGCCAATACTCATTGATATAAATTCAAGTCTTTTTATCACATCAACTATTATATTAATTGGGCTTGCTAATAGTCTCACAAATGTTGCAAGAGATTTAATATTTCAAAAGAACTTAAACAACGAATCAAAAGGAGTTATAGTAGGTTTTATGGATTTCTTTTAGTATCTTGGAATATTGTGCTATTTGGTTGTATTCACCTTTTTATCAAGTGTTATTGGTCTCAAAGGATGCTTTTTATTCCTTGGAATTCTGGATATGCTATTGCTTTTGTTATCATTTAGATATAATCTAAACCATAATAAGAATTGAATACTTTAAATCTCTTATTTATTTCAAAGTAAGAATTCAGGTTTTAATTATAAAACATAGGTGGAATACTGCTAAAGAAATGATGTAATACTTAAATTAATTCAGTAAATTTACTAGGAGGCTGTTTTGGGATCTAACCTAGTTTGGTATCCAACAATAATGAATCATTCTTTCTTTAATTAAACAATTTAATAAGACTAATATTGGTAAAACTGCCAAATAATAAATTTATTGACGTAAACATTTTACAAGTTCACTAGTCTTCTCTCTGGTAATATCATTATTCTCATTAATTTTGCAATTTTAGCGAAGCCCTATAAATTTAGAGTAAGACAAACCTCTACTACTATAGCTGGAAATACAGCCTGGACTGATTATAAGATTTTAGTCACTAAATTGACACCAGCTGAAGAAATAAATGAGTATTCACAAATTTACGCAAGAGGGACTGGCGCTAAAAATCATAACTCTTCGATTATCATGATAGACAATACAGTGATTTTGGATCATGCTGTAATGAGAGGTCTTTATCTTGCAGTATTTGACAGATATACTCTAAAGAAAGTATATAGTGGCATATATGATACGATCCTTCAAATTTAGCCCTAAGAGGTTAATCCAAATTTAGATAAATTATATCAAAACTACACATTTGATGAAGCAACACTGACTTATACAGTTGAAGAAATTACAACAAATACATATCTTAAAGATGACAATTTTTAGGTCTCACATAACCTTGCAAGAAAGATCAAAGAGTATGATAACAAATATTTTATTGTATTGGTGTCATAGAATGCGTGGGAGCTCAGATTTTCAAAGTAAAACATTAAATTTTAATGATGAAATATAGGGAACTAGGCGAGGCACTCATGCAATGCGGGGCTTTAAATATAATGGAATTTACTAATCATTTTTCAGCAGTATTTGGTGAGAAAACTCATGTAAGAGGACTTCATGATTCTGATCCATTGGTTAATTCTAATTTCTATCATCCTTATGCCTTTATCGGTATACCAGGGCTCCCACCAGGAATGGGTTTCGAATCCTTAAGATCAAATTAAGGCTTTCACATGAGCATTGGTACATTTGCATATGCAGAATTAAGAGTCAGACTGAGATTCAACAGGCTAATTGGATTATATTCATTTGATGGGCATTAATATATGGACGATTACAAGTTTTAAGATCCTTATTTGAATGTTAATATGGCTAAAGATAGATCTCTTCTAAGTACTTTCCCCTATCTTGTAATGGAAAATATGACAGTTTACTATGATTGGAAAACATCAATCTATTTGGATGGAAACAGATAGGTATTCTTTACTAATGCCACAGGAAATTTTACAAAGGCTGATACAGTATATCTCTAACCATATGAAAAGCCCTTTAGATATGATTATCTAAAGAGATTAAATGTGGGGACAAATTTGACATGGATTCATAACAAAATATACTACAAATTTGTCAAGTAATACCTTTACAATGATGGCTTTAAAGATTGTCCTCCACCCTACGATAACTACACTAATCCCAGTTGTTTTAATTATACAATGGTAGAAACTAATCCTCCTGAATTGTTCAAGTGCTACACAGGGATTTTTAGTTTTTACTGTCCAACCTTATCTTAAACTCTTGAGGTATCCTTTGATGGCTATTATGTTAGATGAGATTTTAATGAGTTTAATCTTGATTTCATTAATTCATGAGTAATAGGCACTTAGGGGTTTTGGGGTTTTGGGGTTTTGGGG